CAGAGAGAGTGAGACCTGGGCCCAAGGTCACACAGTAAATTACAGGCAGAGCTAGAATTAACACCCTGGCTTTGTGACTGCTCATTTCATTTTAACTTAGTACTCTATGAGGTTTCTTATCTTCACTAGGGTAATTTCAAAAGGCAAAGTAGGGGGACAAATTTTTCCCATATTTGTTACTAAACAAAGAAAGTTAAGAAAACTATATGTTAAATGCTTGAATAAAAACTAATGAAAAACAGGGGGTGGTGGCACACGCCTGTAATCCCAGCAGCTCGGGAGGCTGAGGCAGGAAGATTGAGAGTTCAAACTCAGCCTTAGCAAAAGCTAGACACTAAGCAACGCAGTAAGACGCTGTTTCTAAATAAAATATAAAATAGAGCTGGGGATGTGGCTCAGTGGCCCAGTGGCCCTAAGTTCAATTCCCAGGACCCACCCTCCAAAAAGAAACCTGAAGAAATTAGAAATAGAATCTTAAGTGAAGAATATCACAAGACGAGCAATAAGATGTGCTGATTGGAGCAGATGTGAATTAGACAAGGTTTGTGTGGATCTGATTGCTAAAGCCTCCAAGAGCATCACTATGAGCTTGTGTGCAGCCCCCAGGGCTCCATCACATACACTGAGGACATGGATAATGGTAGGCAATGGGCCCAATCCAGAAATGACCCCTTGGACTTTCTCAATATAGTAGTCCACCAACGGGAAATACAATAGATGTCAACATACAAAAAGAAATTTTTTTTAAGGTAAATAGATTTTGCTTTCAATAATTCTTGCTTTTTTTTTTTTTTTTTTTTTTTTTTTTGGTGCCAGGGATTGAACCCAGGGGCACTTAAACACTGAGTCACATCCCTAAACCTTTATATTTTTTGAGACAGGATCTCACTAAGTTGCTTAGGGATTTGATAAGTTGCCAAGGCTGGCTTTGAACTTACAATCCTCCTGCCTCAGCCTCCCAGACCTCTGGGATTTTATAGGTGTATGCCATCACGCCCAGAGACTTTCAACAATTTGGATCTAATTTAGCCTCTCTTACCTCTGGTTTCCAGCAAGCCAAAAATATACTGCTGACATTACCCAGGAGAAAACGGAGCAGAAGAATCATGATCTATTACTCCACTGTGGTGACCAGCTTCTCTTCTGCCTTTCCAGCCACTCTGGAAACTGCTTTGAATTTCAGCCAAAAATCTCCAAAAAATGGTAAGAGGTTTTTGGTCTTTGGTGAGTGACCAGCTTTCCTGACCTGTATCATTTTGAGCCTGGTAAACCAAGGCTGCTTCTTATCAAGTTCAAATGGAAGCTGGGCTCCATCGTGGGGAGGAGGGGACTTAGCTCTCTGCCAGAACTCTTCTCACCTCCAGGAATTCCCAGAGTGGGTTTCAAATTTCCTTGAATCAAAGCAGGAAGGCCCACAATCAGTTTGAAATCAAGGGTCAGGGTTGTCCTTCTTTATCCTGTGTGTGTTATTGATTTCCTTATAAATACTACTTACTTCCTCTCCTTCAGGGTTTTACTTAAGTATTAAGATGGGATTTCCTTTACAGCTTATTCTTTTTTTTTTTTTTTTTTTTGGCATCAATTGTTCTTGAACCTGAATGCACATCAGAATTATCAGAGTACTCTTTTGAAAAAGCACGGATTCTAGGTCTCCTTACATGGGTCACTGAATGAGACCTGGGAATCCTTATGTTTTAAAAGCTCCCCAGGTAATTCCAATGCCCGGGCTTTAATATTCTAGTTATATTTTCCTTCCCTCCTTCCTTCCTCTTTTCCTTCTATCTTTCTTCTTGGGTTGCCCTGAAAATCCAAGAATCACAAACAATAGTTCTGGAAGAGAGACAACATTCTCTACATCAAGGCAAACACCCAGGTAGGAATGACATTTCAGAAGAGAACAGGTCCGTGAACCTGGCTCTTCTGGAGCAGCTATTGATTAATTGTAAGGCATTTTAGAATTAGAAAGGTGGTTATGTTCTTTTTTCTTGAAGGTATTTAGGGAAACAGACATACATCTTAGTGAAAATTCGCATACTTTATTTGAAAGCATGCAAATTTATCTTTATCATATTTGAAATGGTCCAGAGATAAAGACAAACCCCAGATGTACTGGAAGTTCTGCATTAGGTAACTATCATCTTTTCTTTTTCTAAATGATTTCATGCACAAATTTCCTTTAATCTTTCCTTGTGGGAATTTTACCTGTTCTTTGATTACTATTCTCTGTTCTTCCTTCAGTTTCTTCAATCTACTGTTGGTTCAACAATGAGGACTGAAATACCTTCAGGGAATAACTGGTCTCAGATACTTTACAGTTTGAAAGCAGTTTATGTCTCTTTAGGAGTATTTAATTTATTGCTTGCAAGTGACTTAGACCAGCAGGCCCCAACCAAAACATCTACCAATTAATATTTTGCTTCAAACAAAGAAAGTTTCCTTTGAAATTCCTTTATTTAGTGATCTTGCCACATCCAATTAGATAGTTTCTGAAATTCCCATTATATAATGATCAAATTCTGAAACTGATCCCAAAGCCACTCATTTTCTGTCTACTTTCCTCTTCCTTCCCTCTGTACTATTGAGTTGTTTGAGTGTGTCTTCTTTCTTATTAACTGGCTTTTCTACAGTTCTCTCAGGCTGCTCGGTTCTCCCTAACAGTTTTCACTTCAACCATCATGTATCAAAGGCAGAAATATTCACCCCCATTCTTCACCCTTTTCTGATCTGTGTTTCTTCCACTAAAAGCTGTCTGTCTCCTTCCCTGGATTGTGGGCTTGACCATGGACTTGCGTTAGCTAAGGGTGTATAGACTGTTCTGAGCATAGGCCTTGCTTCTGTTGCCATAAAAACAGAATAACAGCAACCTATCAATGAAGAGAAAATAAGAGTAGACACATCCAACCTGCAGTTTAGAGCCACTTAGCTAAAATTGGAAGCCTGCAGGGTCTGTAGCCAATCCCACAGATTCTGTAACTGCAGGGTGTCTACGTTTACCATGAGCCCTACAGTCAACTCTGCCCCACTCTAGGCAGGTGTCATAGGGGACCAAGTGACCTCTACAGGAAGAGGGAGAGGAGATCCTTTCTTCCCTTGGGACTAAAGATGCTGAAGGCTGTACAGGTTGAGCATCTCTAATCTGAAAATCTAAAATTGAAAATGCTCCAGCATCTGAATCATTTTCAACACCAAGATGACATCACAAGTGGAAAATTCCATACCTGACCTCTGGTGATTCAATGTACACTAAACTGTTTCATGCACAAAATTATTAAAAATATTGTATGGAATCACCTTCAGTCTATGAGTATAAGGTATATACACAAAACATAAATAAAATTTGAGTTTAGACTTGGGTCCCATCCTCTAGATATCTCATTATGTATATGCAAATATTTCAGAACTTTAAAAAATCCCAAATCTGAACACTTCTGGGTAAGCATTTTGGATAAGGGTTATTGGGCCTGTAGTAGAGAAGATGCAAGACGAGGGGAAGCAAAAACTGACTCTGAGGTAAGAAGAAAGTCCTCAGGAGATGATGCCCACAGCGGCCCTGCTCTGGGCACACAGCTCATCCCGAGCACCCAATTCCTGTTTGGCTAATGCCTGGCAAGGCCAGTACAGGGGCTAAAATGTTCCCTGAATCTGGGCCTAAGCACCCACCCCTTTAGTTTATTGTGATCTAATTCCTTCTGGCCTGGACATCCAACTCTTAAATGAGCTCAAACAGTTTGTCTTCATGCACTGAGTGAGTTCTTTATCCTCAAAGGTAAAAAGAGATTTCCTTTATCTTTCTGAGTATGATCATGCCCACCCGAATAGTAAACCTGTCCCTAATATTACACCTAATTTCAATGGTCATTCAGCCAAAACTGAGTCATTTTAAGAATCTGGCCTCCATATGGCATGGCTCAGTTTGCAGATAAGATTTAATACCTACTGGACCATGATGACAACATATTCAGGCTCAGGCCACAATGAAGTGGCTAATTTTGTTCGAAAAGTTCATAAAACTAATTTTATTCCTATTTCACAAATCTGTCTTCATTTTTTCCCCCTGCCTTCTGCCAATAACAACACCTACTCTTTCTCTTATATATAAGTACATATTGCATAAATGGCTGGTAACAGTTCAGCCATAACCTTTTTTGTATTCTAAGAAAATGTGTATATATGTATCATGTGTGTATATACGCTTGTGTGTATGTGCATACATGTACACACCAACTTTTTCTTGGCCTATTTCCCACACATATAAAGTTTAGCCAAGCTACTCTGAAAGCTGTTTAGGGGACATTAGGATCAAGCAAAATGGGGACAGAAGCTGAAGTATGTCTTTGGGGTTCTCTATCGAGACCCATGATTGCAACAGTTCCCAAGTGCAAGCGTACATTTCAACTCGTGGATACCCAGAAGTCACAAGCAGGTCACCTGTCTCCCAGACTGAAATGAGATCCATAAAGAAAGCAACCAGCCCTCGGAGTAGCACAAGTGGATAATGCAAAACGGACTGGAGGAGCCGAGGCACACAACCTACCTACAGATGCACCCTCACTTGCCCTGCCCTAGGTAGTCTTCATTTCAACCCCAAGACCCTTAGCTACCATTTTCCCATTTCAAATTGATCTCCTGTAGCAAATATGCAAACAGACCCCCTGCTGGGGCAATAACTGCTGATAGCCTCATCCCAGGAGGAAAAAGACAAAAGCTGATAAAAGAACTCAAAATGGGGCAATCTGCAAAAGGGCAAGGTACTCGCAACACCTCACTGGCCCAGGAAGACATCATTGTACTTACCTTATTGCACCCCAATACAATACTCAGTACTCTGAGCAGTAACACTGGGTCATGGGGGAAGTTGAGGGACACCCTACGAACTCTGAAGCAAGGTAATTCTAAAGCGCTGGGAAAAGTGACCGCATTGGGAAAGGCCCCATAGAGGCAAGAAGTGGTCCCTGCACGGCCAACCTCAGCCTGGGGCCCCAGGGCTGCAAACCACCTACCTCTGGATGTTATCCTCCAGCTGCTTGACTCTGAACTCATCCTCCTCAGACTGCCGCCGCCTGGCTTCCTCCTCTTCGGCAGTTCCAGCGGGGATACCCTGCAGCAGCCATTTTTCCCGAAGCACTTTGGACTGTGGGAATGAGGGAGGATAACAGACAAGATGACACCTTTCCATCCACATCCTGCTCTCCATAGCAGGGCATGGCGTTTTAGCTCCGCCCCTCATCAGCTCCACCTGGATCGCTGCCTTCACCTCCTCACTGACTTGGCTCCCCATTTCCCTCCAGCCCAACCTCCAGCAGGTCGCCAGAGAGATTTATTTCCACATTTAAAAAATTCTGTTAAATATTTGCTAAGAACCCACCACATGCCCAGCATTATTCTGGCTGCTAAAACAAAACAAATCTCTGTCCTTTTGCAGCTTCTACTTTAGTCAGGAGACAACAAACATTTTATATACACATAATAGACACTTACACACACCCACACACACATCAGTGTACCTACTTTCCCCCAGATGAGGCTGCTGGGGAATGCAAGGGTTGGGGAGGGATATGGAGGGTGTTGCTATATTTATAGGGTGGGTCCAAAAGGCTTATTGATAGGTTACATTTGAGCAGGGACACAGTACAGAACCATCCACACTCTAATCTGGAGAAAGTGTGGCCCTGAGTGGTGTCTATTTTCTATTATTAAAAAGAAAAATCAAGTGAACTGTATAATAAATACCCATGTGATCTCATCTAGATTAAAGAATTATAAACATTATGCCATATTTTCCCACATGTTTTTCACCAAAGCATTTTAAAGTAAATATCAAACACCATGACATTTCACCCATCAATATTTCAGTATGAGTCTCTAAAAAAAGGACCTTTTTTTCTATGCAATTACAACTTCATTGTAAAATTTCCTAAATCATCCACTGTCTAGTCCAAGTTAAAGTGTTCTTTTAAAAAACTAACCTATGTTGTGTCTCTTCTTAAAAACTTTTTAATGACTCCAAAACCTCCCTAGCAGTGGTCCCCAACATTATTAAAAACATACCTCACCTTGCATAATATATTATGCAGTCCCTATGAGGACTCAGGGCACATGACAGATTCTTCCCAGTAACAGAGGCCAGTGAAGGAACAAAAGGAGTAAAAGCTAAGAGATCAGTCAAGGCAGAGTGAGGACTAGCTTCCCTAGTTCCTTAGCATCACCTCTGTCAAGAAATTTGCAGTGGTGGGGGAGGGGATAGGATTATAGCTCAGTGGCAGAGCACTTGCCTAGCATGTGTGAGGCACTGGGTTTGATTCTCAGCCCCACATAAAAACAGACAAATAAAATAGAGGTCCATTGAAAACTAAAAAATTTTCAAAAAATTTTTTTTAGTCTGATTAAGTAGGATGAGCAGGGTAAAGGCCAACAGTCAGGGCAGGCAGACTCAGGGCAAACTTTTTGTAGCTCTAGTGAGCAAACCTTGCACAATTCCATAGACTCTCATATTTCTGTTGGACTGCAGGCTGCTTATTATGAGCCTATGCAAGGAGTGTTTTAAAATTACCAGTATTTAGTAACAGTAATTTACAGTTCCCTAATGGTTCTGATTCACTATTCTACAGAGAAGTCCAGATGCCACTCATTCATCACCGTGGTGACCCTGCCAGATGCACAGTTTGGTCTAGAAACCCTGCATGTCCAGAATGGACCCTTTGTTAGCAATGCATCAGCAGAGGGTGTAAAGCCAGCCATGGCTTTTACTGGGGTGTGTGTGTGTTGCTATTTAATTATAAATCATTTCATTATAAATCATTACAGAGATCTGTTGGTCATTCTTACAGCACAGAGAGACAAATTTATAGCAACTGACCTGTAATTTTCCAATACAGATTTAAAGACATGTAATTTGTTCATATATAAGTGATTGCTAACTGTACTGCTAAAGTGATTGGCCACAGGGTGTACTTTACTATCCTGCCTCACCCAGGAATCACGTGTGTTTGTGTGTGTGTGTGTAGGGGTGGGGTGTAGTTAAGTGGTAAAACATATGCTTAGTATGTATGAGGCCCTGGGTTCAATCCTCAGCGCCAAAAAGCACCCAAATAAGATTAACAAAATTGGGAGGCACCACTGCCTTTCTCCCTAACCTGGATAACTACTTTCCAGCTTCTCCAATAGCATTTCCTTCTTGATAACCAACCCCATCCCTCAGTCCCTTGCAGTCAGTGATGCATTTTTCATTCATCTGTGAGACTGACATGTGAGGCTGCAGCTGGTCGTAAGCACCTGCTGAAGGAATGACTCTGAACAGCCATGCCTTCACGCTGCATTTTAACAAACATAAAAATCCTCAACTAATACACCTAAAAAAGGCCTTTGAGATGAATTAACCCAATCTTTCTCATGTACAGATAAGGTAACTGATGTAAAGCCACTTTTTTTGGGGGGGGGGTATGGGGGAATGAATCAGGGGTATCTGACCACTGAGCCACATCCCCAGCCTTATTTTGTATTTTATTTACAGACAGCTTTTGCTGAGGCCGATTTTGAACTCGTGATCCTCTGGCTTCAGCCTCCCGAGCCACGGGGATTACAGGCATGTGCCACCTTGCCCAGCCTGAAGCCACTTTTGAAGGTGACCTAAGCAAACAGTGAGAAGTGTCTGGAGCAGGTGGGTGGGGCAGGTGTGAAGGTCAGAGACAAATCAGGACTCACAAGTGTCTATTTTTTGATCAAGTTTAGCAATCCATCTTTCATAATTCTGGCATTGATGTCAGGCGTTAAGACTTCCTCACCGCTGCACTATAAAAATATTCATCTGTGTTTCATTCTGGAACTTTCATGTTTTGCCTTTCACCCCACCATTCACCTGTAATCTGGCTAAAGCTAACATCGGCTGCCACAGTGGATGATGGCTGGAATCGGGTTAATTGGGTTAAACTCAGGGTGAGGCAAAAGTTGTGTTTGCATTTTCAATCATTTTCTTGTGCCCCTACCTCTTCCCCTTCTCTCCTAACCCTTTTATTCTTTTCTTCCTCCTTTGTGCCACCTTATATGATCTTGGTTTAGTTCTGCAATTTTGTTAAATGATTCCCTTGACATAGGGAGATGCCAACCCAAGACTCCTGAAAGAAGAAAGAGAGTTTCACCTCCCCTCAAACTGTTTGTGGGGCCAGAGGACACCTGATGGGAAAAAGGAAAAGATGTAAAGTTCCTTTATATGGTGAGCTATGCTTATCTGTTGAATATTTACATTCAAAATCATTCTTTCACATGTACTAATAACCAAGAAAAGTCTCAAATTAGTGCCAAAAGTTCAAAATAGCAAAAGACTCTTTGCAGCAATGTTCCCGATGCCTTAGGCCAGCTCAGCAAATGACCTTGGTGGGCTGACAATAAATATTTCACAGGGTCATGATTCAGCCCTTCATCTTTTTCCCATTCAGTTGTCTCTACAGAAAGGACTGTGGCCTTTAAAATATAACCACCATTTTCATAGCTTGGGTTAGGAGAAAACTCTAGTTGGGGTTCCCTGCTCATGAATAAATCATTCAAAGGCAGCTTATGTATTGAAGCTGCAATATTAGCAATTTGATTCTGACAGTTCTGACGGTGTCAGACAAACCTTTACAAACGTGAAAGTCCCCACGGAGCACAGGTTGCAGCACTACAGAGCTCACACTCTGTGCTGGGACTTTAAACAGCCCAATAAAATAGACAAATCTCTGGCCCTTCAACCAAGAGGCAAAAGGGAATATTAAATTCAGTCTTCTCTAATGTAACACTGTAGTTGATTTATTAAAAAAAACTCACATGATCACAAGTCTTATTATGAAAACAATAAACAATAAATAATTGTTTCCATGGAATAAAAAACCAAGACAGCTTTTCAAAAGAAGAATGTTGATGGCTCTTGCCTTATGAAATATCTCAATATTAAAGAGCCGTGGAGATTAAGCAAGAATGGCACCGGCCCCCGGATGGGCACAGGGAGAGAACAAAGGAATCCATAAACAGTGGACTTGAGAGTAAGGGAGTATGTGATATAGACGACATTTAAATCAGGGAAGGAAAGGATGAATTAATCAGTAAATCAAGTTGAGACAAGTGGCTCATGATGAGGGAAATGTAGATTCTTACCTCATACCTTATGGGGAAATAAGTTCTAGGTGGGTTAAAACTACTGAAGTATAAGAAATCTCATAGGTAAATGTTTGAGATGGAAAATCTTCCAAGGATGACATCCAAGTCAGAAAGCATGAAGTAAAACAAGGTTTGTTGTGATTTCACAAAAAAAATCATAAATTTTTGTATGGGAATTTAAAGGAATCCACATGCAAAAATCAAAATAGAGGTAAAGGTTAATGTAACGAGGACTCTGATGTTAATATGATCTCATTTTACTAATGGCTGGTAAGGCCTGTAGACAAGGGTTACATATCTTAATCTATAAAGGTACCTTGCAGGGAAAGGACAGCAGCATACACCCCATGTGGGTTATATCTAGGTGGGGAAGATGCAGTTGATATTTTCATCTAGGTATGTTCTTATACGTTTAAATTGAGTTTTTGCAATGACCACACATTTCTTCCTTTTACAATAAGCAAGAATAATCCAGCAATCAAAATTGCTTACTGGTTCTACTTGTGTTTCTTGGGAATTCCTACATCATAAGTATTAGTTACTAAACAGAGCTAGGCATCTTCTAAAAAGAAATCTGAGGCTGGGTACAATAGTGCATGCCTGTCATCCCAGTTACTCAAGAGAATGAGGCAGGAGGATCATGAGTTCAAGGCCAGTCTGGGTAACTTAGCAAGACCGTGTTGCAAAATAAAATAAAAAGGGCTGGGGATATAGCTCTGTGGCAGAGGTTTTGCTTAGCACGTAGGAGGCCCTGTGTTCAATCTCTAGTACCACTAAAAGAAAAAGAAAAGAAGGAATGAAGGAGAAGGAAAGGGAAAAAAGTCTTAAGTTTAATTTGGCCAGAAACTAAAATATTTTCAAGGTTTCCTAATCACTGTGGTGTAGCAGCTCATGTTTTAACATTTCATACTTTGGTCCTTCTTTGCATTAAGGAGTTTGCTCACATGTATAAAGTAATGATATTCCACTCCTTGAGGCTACTGTATATGCCTAAATATTGCAATGAGCAAATATATAAAACAAACATCAAAATATCAAAACTATGTGCCTTGTATTCTATTTATTTGCTTTGACAAGAGACCAGTGAATCTTTCTAAATAATTCATATCTCACTGCATGACAAGAAGTGTCCATAGACTACTTGATTCTCATATAATCATATGTGATTTACATATATGGAATATGAGAATTATATGAAGAATATAAGAATTACGTCTAAATAAAAAGGAAACCAAACTCTAATGGTTTTCCATTTTTCTTTGTACTTGAATATTTTTTTTTCCCTTCAAGAGCATCTGGGATTTTACAAAATTAGTGAAATTAGTAGTAATTACTGACATATTTCCTAATATTTTCTACTTAAGAAACCTACAATAATCACTGTGACAAGTCTCCACATGGTCTAAACTTTCTGGAGCCCACAGAAATATAGTTAGAGTGAAAAGACAGTGGTGACAGCCATTGGCATCTTTCTAAGCAAATCATCATAAGGAAACAGTTGGAAGAGAAGAGTGTCCTGGGAAGAACCTGATCTTTGGAAGCAGACAGTCCTGGGGTTCAGCCTGGGCTCCCTTGCTTACAGTCTCTGTGTCCTTGAGCCAATTACTTGACCTCATGGATGTATTTCTGTACTTGTGGGATGGGGAGACCAACATCCACCTGGTGGTCACTATTGAGGACAGGCATTTAAAGTATCAGGCACATGCTGGGTATTCAAAAAATACTACCATAGAGGATAGATAAGAGGTTCCCAGGCTGCTGTACTGCCAGGACAGAGCTGGCTGGCTCTCCTCTGAGGCTCCCAGAGGAGGAAATACAACCCCAGAGAATCTCCTTCCATCCAGGGGTGAGGCCACCAAGCTGGAAACCTAACGATTCCAGGGAAGATGACTCACACTAGTCAAGTTCAGTCAACAGTCAAATGATTTGAAGTGGAACCCATTCCTTTCTGGTGTCTGAAGTGACCTCATGCCTCCATCAGGCCCTCTCTTCCTTCTATCAAAATAATGCAACTATTTTAAGGAGGATGGACTCAGATCAAAGAGTGGCAGAACCAGGAGGGAGGCGTCCCCTGGGCCACAGTGAGGCCTATGACACCTCTGGCCTTGCCAGCAACCCTTCCTCCCCAGGCACGGAAGCCCAAGACCTTTCAGAGCTGGGGGTCTCTCTCCAGCTGGTACAAGACACACTGTCACCTTTGGAACCTCTAAGCTCTCCTTTTTATTGTTCAAGGCTAACAATCCATCCTCATTATGTCCACACAAGCTTTCCCCAGAGAGAAGACAAGACAATGCACTGGTTTCCACTTAACTGCATTCAGTCACCTCTAGTCCTCCCACTCCAGACTTCTTGATAACGTGCTGGGTGCACCCCTAGATAGCCAAACTCAGGAAGAACTATCGGATTCCCTTGTTTCCAAGCCCCTGGAAGAACCTCATTGCTTACTCACACAAAACTCAGGCCTTTTTACTATTCTTTCTGTTGACTGGATGGATGGGTAGCTGACGGATCAACAGATCAATGGAGGCACAGATGAAGAATGGATAGAACATTCTAACACTGTGATGGACATAGGCAATGAATGAGTCTTTGGTATCTCGTTTGGCACCCAGAAAGATGAGAATGGGATAAAAGGAACCTGGTCTTATGACATATGTTCACTGCCTGATTTTTGGATTCAAAGAATGCGAGAGCAGAGATGAGCCTGAAGCTGGAGGGGAGAGAGGCTGTCTAGTCAAATCAGCCTCTCTGACCCATTGGGCTCAGCTCACCTTTTCACCAAGAGTTCACAGAGGTTTTAGTACATGTTAGCCTCTTACCGAAGTGAATTGACTAATTGACTGTATTCTGAACTACAGATCCTGCCCTGTCCAGACTGACCTTGAGCAACTCACTCTGTTCTATCAGTGTTTTAAGTCCCCCTCTCTGGAAGAAGAGGATACTAATTTTAGTCTCAATCTTCCCTTGGGAATGTTGTCAGGAAAGAGTAACAACATATGGATCTTGTCAGGCCCTTACTTGAAAATGGATTTTCACAATGGACAGCATTCTCAGTATCATGCTGCGTTTCTCCCTTTTAAGCACAATTCTCTGGTTCAAGTTACTGGTAAACTGATAAGCATGCAAAGCAGATATAGGTCATGCTGCTCTTTGAAATCACCCACCAGCTTGCTCATGATTCTCATTTTGAGGATTCATTTAGCACAACCCTGTTTTCTAGAGAGGAATAGGAAATGCAACCATGAAGGTTCACTTTGTTTTAAAAATGTCCAAATAATCCCTACTTTGCATCGCCCAGAGACTCAGCACCACCTTCCCAACCAGCCCCCAAGCAAAGAAATTCTATGTACACAAGGTCATGGCAACTTCTCTGGAGCAGAAGATCTTCCTTAAAAAAAGCCCAGGAGCAGTCAAAAGCAAGCATCCACTTGTAGATGGCCATGGAATGTGGTCACTTTATCCTCTGAACATGAGCAAAGCAACATTCAGCCACCAGTGGAGTCCCTGTGACAGTGACAGAGCTTTCTTCTGGGCTGTAATCAATTATGATGCTTAAGAGCATTATGTTTTAGAGAGAAATAAATAAATAAAACAGCTCTTTCTCTCCCTCTTTCTTTTTATTACGGTGCAAGGGAGACCCAATCCAGACAAATAAATCAAAAAGCCATTTTTGGCCAACTGCTCATTTTAACAGAACACTTGTAAAATTGCTAAAGTAGAAATAAAATAGAAGAGTAATCTGCAATGCACAGTGTTGTTCTTTTCTCAGATCCCAGGGCTTTATCTCCCTTTGCTCCGTGTCAAGAAAGATATTAACATTTTTAATTTTTAAAAAAAGTGCATTTGGAACCTCTGAGCAAAGGCACAGGAGAAGCAGCCCCGGACCATGTGGAGTCTGCTCTTCCAATGTCTATATATAGCCACCACATTTCACAGGCACACACCACCCTGCACCCCATCCACATGCACACTGTGATCTGAGGCTTGCAGAAATCAGAATGCTGTGACGATGCCCTGAATCTCAGAAATCCACAAGAAAAGCCAAGAGATGGTTTCCCGATTGAATGAAAAAGGCTGGTTCAGCCGTTGCAGCGCCTTGGTGGCAGGGCAGGCTCTGCCCAGCTCTCCCGAGTGTGATCTGCATGGCTAATAATGGCACAGGTTCCTGGGATCAGCCGCTTACCTTGGAATGCTGCAGCAGGAGTACCTGCTCGTCGAGCTGCTGTCGTTTGCCTTCTATTTCCGTCTGTCGCTTTCTTTTTTCCTTGAAAATAAAAAGAGAGAGAGAAAGAGAGAGAAAGAGAGAGAGAGAGAGGCTGTCAGAGTGGGTGGGTGTTGGCTCTAGGAATGTGAAGGCAGGGAGCAGGAGCAGGAGCGGCACACATCTGTGCAGACACTTCCAAGAGATGCTGGGCACACACGCAGCGTCACCTGCCCCACCGTTGCTGGGTGTGTTGCAGGCAGCAGCCTTCTCCTAACATGTCTGCGGTGGGCTCGGCCAGTGGGAGAAATTCTCCTCACTCAGCCAGACTGCAACGATTTAATCCAGAAGAAAAGGCGGTTTCCACACACGCACACGCACACGCACACAGCCCTGTGCTGTGCAGTGTTAATTTGGAGACAAAGAATAAAAATCTCAATCCAAAAGACACAGGTTGTTACAAACTGGGAACAGGAGGGAATTAAACAAGGGCAGGAGGACCCCAGGGTCAGATTTCTTTTAGCAAAATCATATACATAAATAATATGCTGCAATTTCAAATTTGGTAGGACAGATTATCCAGTGAGGCATACCAAACAATGTAAATGAGAGAAGTTATCTTTGATCTTTGCTTAAAGGAGCCATGGGGGGGAACATTTCTTGGGGGTGGGGCTCCCTGAGATTTTGGCAAGTATGAATCTGAAACCTGACTGCATGCCTCCAGCTCTATATTTGCTACCTGTGTGGCTTCTGGTAAGTTCTTTCACTTCCCTGGGTCTCAGTCTTCTTCTACATCAAGTAGAGATAACAACTCTACCCAAGCCATACGGTTGGGATGTGGATTAAATGAGAGGATATATGCAAAAGGACTAGAACAAGGCCTGGCACACCGTAAGCACTCAATCATCGTTATTTGCTAATATTCCTATTGCACGTTTGCTTCCGGGGAGGTAATTATTGCCTAGAAACTGGTTTTAAAGGGATGTGTTTCCCTGGCATTCCCACATCCTTTCCACTACAGCATATACTGCATATTTTTTTTTCCTTCTCCAGTGCAGACAACAAACATCACAGGAATGTGGTTCATAAGAATAGAAAGGCCTTCCCCTATGAGAGCTTGCTTGTTTATATTTGTCTTCTAACGTGTACAGGAGGATTTATTGAGCCATGTACAGCACTGGACCATTCTCCTTTGCTCACAGATACAGGAAGACATTACAGCACTGTCTTCCTGGGGAAGACAAGGATGCCAAAGTCTGGCCACCCATTCCATGGATGGAAGCTTTTCTTTCATGGAATGCCATGTTTCTGAGATGTGACTGCACCACAGCTGTTGAAATCAATGTCCTAATCATGTGTGTTAAAGCCAACGTTTTCCACGCAATGAAGAGACTTTAAGAAATATTAGCTCTTTTTTTGGGTGGGGGGAGATGCTGGGAATTGAACCCAGGGCCTTGTGCATGCAAGGCAGGCACTCTACCAACTGAGCTATATCCCCAGCCCAGCATTTGCAGGAAAATGGATGCTGAAGTAAGCCAATCCCAAAAAACCAAAGGCTGAATGTTTTCTCTGATAAGTGGATGCTGATCCATAATGGGGGGTGGGGCAGCGCATGGGAAGAATGGAGGAACTTTGATTGGGCAAAGGGGAAGGAGTGGAGAGGAGGGGGGATGGGGGCAGGAAAGATGGTGGAATGAGACAGACATCCTTACCCTAGGTACATGTATGACTGCATATATAGTGCGACTCTACATTGTGTACAACCAGAGAAATGAAAAGTTGTGCTCCATTTGTGTACAATGAATCAAAATGCACTCTGCTGTCATGTATAACTAATTAGAACAAATAAAAAAATCTGCAAAACAACAACAAAAAAGAAATATTAGCTCATAAACTTGAGTCACTAGAATATAATACCTAAGTCAGGGATAGAATCTCCCTGCCAAAGTGAGACCTATCTTAGGAACTTATCATTCACCAAGGGACTCCAACCAATGGTGCATAATTGATGCTACTTAATCTCAGAGCATGTCCAAAAACAGATAATAATATGACAGTAAATGGGGAAAGTAAGGCCCAGTGGGAAGAGCACACCTGACCAGCATCTGAAAGGCACCACATGACAAGGCAAGAATGTCCAGGACCAGCTGCCATCTCCAGTCCCAGAAATTCTCTAGATGAGTTTACTGGACCTTATCACTCATCACTATTGACTATCAAGATATACAGTTTTCCTACATTTAAATCCAGAACAAGATATAGTGTGTTACAATACAAGATGCAGATCACAAATGTTGACTGAGTGCTAACTACACATCTTGTCACTTCCAAGACTTTCCCTGGCATTCCCACCTCTGTGCATTCACTCATATGCAAAGTTCTCACTCCAGAGTTGCCCATTGGAATGGTGAATCCGAGTGGGAACAATATCACCAGCTGGACTCTGTAGTGGACCTGTACATGCTCAAGCAGTAGACTCATCAGGGATCCCTGTAAAATGATATGGTCAAGGTGGACATAGGTTGCAAGTTAGTCCTTGAAGAATGGGTAGGGTATAGGTACATGTCAACCAATGGGCAGCTCATTCAAGGCAAAAAGAACTATGTGAGCAAGAGTAGAAGTGCTATGCATGTTCCAGAAAGAATGAGGAGGAAAATCTAACTGGGAGGGAATCAAAAGATTAACTAAGACTAGGCCATTGATGATTAGACCACGAAGTCTGAATTGTATTGTACAGACACTGCCCTATCTTTGTAAGGTTCTCAGTAAGAGCATTGATATGATATTGTATTTTAGAAACATTAATCTGGCGTTGGTGTAAAGGAAGGATGAATAGGGGTTGGGATACTTTTCCTGTAAAAGAAAAGTAAACATGTAGGCTGTATTAATATTTCCCCTAAGGAAGCACCTAACTGGATTCAAGTTCTAAACAAAAGAATTGTCAACATACACAACCAGACCGTGCCATTGGCATGTTACCATCTGTGTTTGACTGAGTGAGACCTTGGGTTTGGCATCAACAGCAGAAGAGGATTCTTTTCTAGATGAGTCCCTTGCACAGTGATGGGGTTAGGTCCCGAAGCCATTCCTAATTGGGTAAGAGGTAAGAATGCAATCAGCCTCTGTTCAGAATTAGGTACAAGTCCAAAAAAAAAAAAAGGATTATGTTTAAGTCAAATCATGGTAAACTTGAGTAGGACCCCACTGAGGAACACACCTTTGGTCCTTGACATTGGCCTGATGGATGGCTGAGGTCTGAGCTGTGCTCCTCACCTCTCAGACTTCTCCCTCCCTTAACTAAGACAAACCCAGTGACTCTTGGACCCTTCTTTCCCATCCACTCCAAAGCTCTTGGGTTCCATCTCCACTTTGAGGCCCAGGTCCCCGTATTGAACTAGCAACCTTTCAGGGCATCCCTCCAATTCAACACATGCAATCGCTCTCTCAGTCATCCCTTGCTGGCTACCTTCAGGCCCATTCCTCTTTCTACGTTCTTCATCTCAGCAACTGACCCTACTCAACTCAGATATCTGTCACCCTAGACATTCATCTTATTGAAAGTCAGCGTCCATTGTTTCTGTTGCCATTTTCCTCATCTTTTGCCTCCACACTGCCCTAACGTTTCCCTTTATCTCCTTACCTGCCCATTGGAACTGTTCCTCATCAGGACCTTTTACTCCCCAGTGAATTCAGCTGCTTGCATTTCATCTTTGTCTGGATTACTGAAGGCATTTTCTCACTCATCCTGCCTCCACGCCTTGCTTTCTCTAAGCCATTTCCCACACTACTGCCAGAGTGACATTTTAATACTGAAGTCTGACCATCTGCATCCTTTGCCTAAAGCCCAGGTGTCTCCCCACTGCCTATAAGACAAAGCAATGGCCATTGAGGCTCCTATCTCACAGCCTCATCTCCAGCTGTGACCCCTGAGCCATATGCTCCAAGCTCAATAAGAGCTTGCAGTGTCGAGACTTGCTAGGCTGGGCTCATGTTTTCCTGCCTTTACTGCTTCTCCTAACACTAATGGATACCTCTTACTGCTTCATTTGACACACACTATTCATCTCTGACAGCACAGCTTAAATATCAATGAAGTTATAGTGACCACCTGTCAGTTTTGATCAGTCCAGTCTTCCTTCCCCTGGGAACACTTCTACACTCACTGTAAATGGAGTTAGTGGGAATGCTAGTTATGGTCAGTCACAAATACCCCAGCTCATCCTTGTCACCGGGACTTGGACCTGTACCAGTTTAGGCCAATCATACTACCTTATCCCCTTGCAATAGTGACTGCTCTAAGGAGAGGCTCAGTGACCCAAGTGGGACCAACAAGAGATATTCTAGGGTCAGACGCATAAATATTTGCATTTAAAAAACTCTCCCTGAGAGTTAAGCTGAGATGATATGCATCTGAATGGCAATTTTCCCAAGCCACACAGAAAAAAAGAACCTATGTGGGAGAAAATATGGTCAACACAAAGAGAGAAGTAAAGTTTCAAGACAGAGAAAACAGCATCCTAATACATTATTTGGACCCAAGATCTAGTCACGCATGAAGTTAGTTCCATCGCTCAGCTTCCTAAATTATCTATATTAATAAATCTCCTTTTTGCTTGAACTAATTTGACTAATGTCTTTATCACTTACAACTGAAAGGGTACCGATAAATAGTGAAGCCTTTTTCTGCTCCCTTCAAAAAGAGCTCCATGCCCCCCCCCCCTTCTCCCTGCTCTGCATGGGCTATAGATTTTCCACGTTAGTATCTTGAGTACTTCACAGTTACACATCTTCTCCATCAATCAAACCATAAGCTCCTGGAGGACCAGAATCTGGGCTGATACGTCTCTAAAGCCTAGAGAGAGTATTGCATAATGAACTCATGTGTATTTCTAAATTAATTGTGTGTGGTGTGTGTGTGTGTCTGTATCCCTCTTTCAAATGCAAATCTACAGCCCATGCAGAGCAGGGAGAAAGGGGAAATCATGGAGGTCTCTTTGGATGGAGCAGAAAAGGCTTCACTATTTATCGGTACACTTTCAGTTGTAAAGTAATACAGACATTAGTCAAATTAGTTCAAGCAAAAAGGAGATTTATTAATATAGATAATTTAGGAAGCTGAGCGATGGAACTAACTTCATCGACACTCATGATTTCAATGGTGGCAAAATATATTATTGAAAACACATTAGCCATCCATCCATGAAACCAGAAGAGTCCTCATGATGAAGACATTAACCAACATGGAATAGATAGATCATCACTGTTGCTATGCGTACAAGAACAGAGTTGGAAAAGCTACTTCTGGGGGAAAAAATCATGGAAAGCTCATTGTGGGATGAAAGGTGGGGGAAGTGAACATTGCAGGGAAGAGTGTAAGTCCCTGACAGTAGCAGACCACTGGGAGGGGGAACACGTCCCTCTAGAGACATCTGGAATGAAGTGATCTCAATCCATTAGGAAGGTTTCCAGATCCCTCCACGATCTGGGAGGCCGAGCAAGCCTCTCGTTGTCTTTCTGTAAATCATGTATTTTCCTGGCAAGCATTTTCTGGAAGCATTGCAACAGTATAAACCTGCAAACTATTAGTATAGTAAGGAGCACACACTGTTCAGATGGTTGAAAACTCTGATGGAAGACAGGTGTCCGAGGAGTTCAGGGAGCTGTCTCCACCTTTGGGCTGGTGAGACTCCCTCTCCTGCTGTCACCTGGGCATGGGGAAGTGCAGGGTGGTGACTGGGCACAGGGTGGGGGTTGCTCCAGCTGAGCTTGTGAGAAAAAGGGAGAGCGTGGAAGAGGCTAAGCAGGGAGGGCAAAAAGAGGCAGAGAAGTGGCTTTTCCCTTCCTTCCCGAAGCTCCATTCCGACCTGAGCTGATACCCAGGTCCCAGGGCACAGCAGACAGCAGGAACCAGAGGACCTACTCCAGGCACTAATTGCCAGTAAGAGCTTGGAATTTAGGTAAGAGGAGGAAAAAGAAAAATACATGAAATGGTAAATGCTGCCATCTTACTTCTTCCTATTGCTAGACGAAGAGAACTCTACTTTGACTCTTCCCAGGGTGAACCAGAAGGGACTGACTGTGTGTCCCTCCCCAATGCACTGATATTTTAAGTGACTTTCTCTGCCAGCTAGTTCCCAGGCTTTTGCTAAACAGAATCAGAGAGAAAGGGAAGAGTACTGAAGAATGACAATCAACAGGCCATTTTAAACAGTTTGCACTTGGAAAGGGAATCGGGGAGGGCAGGGAGGAGAGAAAAGAAAGGAAGGTATGAAAAAGCAAAGAACTGAAATGGCGTGGAGATAGTTTGAAGGTCAAGAGTGAAAATGAAAGGCTGAGAGATTAAGATTAAAAGATCAGGGAGAGAGAATCTTAGGTAATTTTTCTGTGGTTAATGAAACCCTCTAATGTTGTCCAGATGAATCCAGGAAGGACACTGGGATGACTTTTTGCCAATGAGACCGTGCTCCTCTGTGACTTCTTGCTACAACTGGATCACTA